GTCAAATGATCCTCCATGTCAATGTTAAAAACATATCTCCTAATATTTCGTATCCATTGTTCATAATTCTGCTTCCCCAATAACTTTCTATCAGTAATCTTTGCAGATGAGTGGACTGAAATTTCAGTTACCACCTGTTCACCTTCCACTGCCATAGCTTAATCAAACCAACAATGAATTCTCTACTAAGCTCACAGACAAAATCACCTCCAATCACCAATATCCAGCAAACCCAAATCACCAATTCACAATAAATTCACGACTCAAATCCAACATCACAACCAGAACAGTCATAAAATAAATATAAAAAAAGAAACACAATAACTGAAGACTGTTGAATAATAGAAACAGATCACCAACCGGAAACCACGACTGGAAAACAAGAGACGAGAAAGACTTAGTCGTCGGACAAAGTAACAACTGTGAACAGTGCCACTGTGAACATTGAAGTCGGCCATCGGAATAAAACCCTAAGATCCGTGCTCTAATACCATGTGATAAAATATTCTACTGTAGTTTATTCAATCATTATAATAAGATAATATTACATCCTATATATATATTTTCACTTCCTTACATTTACACATATACCCCTAACTCTATACACATAACTTCTATCAAATTCAAAAGAATTGTTTTAATCACATAATGACTCACCTCAAATTCTTCCCTATGTGGACATACATCCACAATGTGGTCAATGTTTAGGAGAAGCTAGAGTTCCTTGGTTTTTGTTGTGTTCTTGTTATAAAAAGTTTAATCTGCTAAGAGCCCATTTAGGATTTAAAAGTGCACCTGCACTTGCATGTGGATCAAACATAACCAGAACCAATCATAATGACATACATGATTATTAGGATAGGAGGATTCAAACACAAGAGTACTTGGTCAACTTGGTTCTGATTCTTGTTTATTTACAACTTTACGAAAAAATTTAAACTTATAATTAAGAGTTGTACTATAGTGTTAAAGCTCTACCACGTCCACCCACTGCGCACTTATGTAGTACAAATACAATCATAATCATAAACACGACTAATCATAATTAAATTAATAGGAGGATCCAAAGACAAGATGATTTTAACTTCACTCTAATGCCATTTAAGTTATAGTGTGACTTTAAAGCTTATGTAAAGGTCCTATCTATTGCCTAAGTTATAACGTGACCTAAAAGCTTATGTAAGGGTCCAATAATATTTTTCAAGCTCTACATCTAACCATATTACGACATAATACTATTTTAAGTTGTAAATTTAAGTAGTGAAATTTTGCAAGCTTTTACTAATGCTTGCATTTCTTTATATATTATGCTTGGATAAAATTGTTGTATGTATCATTTGCCACTTAATAAATTCCTAAGGTAATTTTTCACGTTTCTGATTTACACCCCACATGGCTTCCTTTTATGGATTTAAGGCAAAAAAAGGGAGATAAGGCTCCACCTACTAAAGAGATGTTGCTCAAGAGCAAAATGCTTCATTGGTAGGGTAATTGAATATCTTTTAAGTCACTACTATCCATGTACTTTCCACTCACTGGGATGTGATTTGTTTTCTTCTCATATAAGACATGTTTTACAAAATCTGTTTGGTTGTAGATACTGATGCTGGTTTTAATCCGACACCTTCTAATGTAAGGAATGCAGTGAAATTTCCATGTGTTTATACCATCTCATGCTGCAACCTATCTTTTTTACAGTTTTGTTTGACTGTGAGTTGCTAAGGCCTCATTACCAAAGTTATTTTATATATTGGGGCAGATTAGCGTATCTTTAAAAGCTAACGTATAATTTTCTTTCTAAATATAAATTTGGAAAAAACATTTCTTAGTACTAGTTGTTTCTACTCTTAGCATATGCCTACAATGTTCAATTCTCTCCCACCAAGATTTTCAAAGATGGTTACAGACGTTGCAACTAAACTAAAATAATTCTAAATTTAGTTTGTAGATGCGGTGAAGTAATTGTATAATCTTTTTGTGTTGATTTTTTTCTTTTTGTCAAATGACGATGATCTAACAGACTGATTTAGCACACCAGAATCTGTTTACCATAGCTTTGAAGGATTTTGGTTTCTTACTTGTAAGGAAGACAAAGGCAATTCTTATTTGCAAATTGTAAATATGGGGCTAGTTTTAATAAGTTTATTTGTATTGTTACAATATCTTCCCAATGGTATAATTTCCAAATTTGCAGATATCAATGTTGAAATTTATAGAGTTGGAAAACTATTATCTCCTTTGCAAGTGGAAAAGGAATATCAAGACTGGCTTTTGCAGATGTATGATCATTATGATGAAGAAAATAACTTTGGAGCAGATCAACCAATTTTTACCATTAGCCCCAAGAACAAAAAAGTCACTGGGCATTTCATCTGATGTTAGGCTTTGATTGATAAGGAATTTAACTTACAAAACATTATTTTCAATTTTGCATAGTTTGCTTTTCATATACTTTGTTCAGTTCCTTGGGTCTCTTTTTTATTCTATTGTTGCTAATTTTTTTGTTTACCTGTTGTTTCTATATCTAATGACATATCATAAATATATTATTCAACTATAGTTGCAAGGGTGCACCAAGTACTAGAGAGGAAGGGTTTAACATGAAAAAGAGGTCAAAGAGTTAAGGTTTTCAAGGGACCATGTGATGGAGTTCATAGCAACAATATCTATGCAACAAATAGAATATTTTTTTAATTGAAGGTCTTCAAGGGGATGTTGCTGGTAGGCAATGATTTTAAGACTCTTAGACTTATAGAACATGACTATTGTTTTCTTTTATCATTTCGTACTAGAACAAACGTATTATTGACATGTTTACATAATTTAATCTTCTTGCAAATTTGATAAATTTCATCCTCCCAAAAAACAGGTGATGCTCGAATTATATGCAGGCATGCTACCTTGTGCATTTGTGCTAAAAGTTCTATTTTTAGTGTAAAATATATCCTTGTACTTTTTGTTTCAAAACATGTGATGTCTAATATCTTTTATGGCTGAAAGCCTTAGGTCTCATGGATAAGGAAGGATGTGTCCTCGTGGAGAACAATGGGACTATCAGTTTGGATATTTTGGCTCCTTGTCGTCACCTATTGCATAATTGATCTATAAAGGTTTTCCATTTAGTTTCAATTTCCTCTTTACTGCTGCGTACGTTTTTGTTTCTTTGATATTTGCAAATTTACTTGAGCAAGTATTTATTAATTATTTTTGTCATTGGTATTAGTGTGTGTATGACAATATTGATTGGAACTACACTAGAGAAGCAACGTTAGAAAGCTCCTGCTTTGATTGACTTGTTGAACGCAAACAAATGTCAAAATTAGATGATTAGGTCTGTATTCATCAAACTCTCTTATTTTGGTTTATCAAGGATGAGAACAATGATTAAGTTATCTGGAAATTCATAATATAGAATGTCACATCTTATATATGTAAAAATATTCTCCCTTTCTTTTGGCACTTAGCTTGAGGAACAAAAATTCAATCCCTTTCTTTTCTCTTCCATCAAGATATTAATCACAACTAATTAGTTTTTGTTTTAGGCATTACTTTTAGTGCTAAAGATGGAGAGTACTCCTAGAAATTGTGGCTGTTGTTCAGCCTGCCAATGCTGTTTCTTCTAGTGCTTCAAAGAAGTTGGACCAAAAGTACATGTTAAGAATAATTTAGAGATGATCATGGAAGTCAGATTCATAGGTGAAAGGAAGAATCTCAAAAGGTTATCAACATTACCAGTGGTTTACCACCTACTTCTACGAAAGGGTATCAAGGTTTATATAATTGAATTCGGGTGCAAGTTACCAAACTTCTTCAAAATGCTGGTGATATATGTTTTCATTTCACCTTGTAAGTGATACAAAAGCTTCTTATCTCTTTTGTTCGTTGCAGTATAATAGATATCATTTCTTGTGTTTTATGATTATATAACCTGATATGATGGAATTTTGTGTCTTAGCCTTACTCAAGTTGTAAGAGTTGTGAGAGACAGGTGGTAGTTAAGGGATCTTGTAAGGTTGGAAATTGGAGACTGTTGAGTTGTAACAGAGCCCAAAGTTTTGTGTAGGTAAGAAAACTTTTAACGAATCAGCTTATCAATTTTTCTGTTCATGAAATTCACAGTGAAATCATTTCCATCTCCTAGCTAAGATAACTCATTCATACAAAATTTTGAAGAAACTTTGGATAACATTATTCTTCGCTAGTCTTAAGCCTAGAGTACAAAATAAGGGATGATAAGTAGCCCAAATAAGTTATCACAGATGCTTCCTGTATTGCATAATAGAATTGCAGAATTTCCCATCCTAGGTATTGTAGACAGACGAAAAGCAATTTTATTGGCTTCCTCTAGAATTAAGTATGATACTCTTTATCATCCACTCAATCTCAATACACTCTCTAAATAGGATTAATGACAGTAAAGCATCATCTTTGCATCTTTAATTTGCATTACGCATGGCAAGACTTTACAGCTTAAATATTATCATTGGGCCTAAACCTATAAGCTTAACTTTTGGTTTAAGTAGTTACTTAATAATTCTATTTACCTTTCACGTCAATTATCGTGCATATTTTAATGTTCTTAGGGAGTTTCTTCCTCCTATTATTTCCCTTAACTAGCATTTCTAATTAGACTTGATAACCTTTTATATTCCCCCTTTCTCATAAAATGACCCTTTCCACATAGTTGGTTTGTGTTTCCCACCTTTATCCATTGCATGTTATGACATCTATGATAACGGATTCCATTTGCATCTGTTACGGGGGTGATAGTCAAACTTAATACAAGCACAAGTGTTAATATACATGTAGACAAGTTCAAGATAGACCTTTCAGCTGATAATTTGACTCTTAATATTGAGTATGAGTTCACACATGAATATCTTTTATGTGCCCTTTTAAAGAACTGCCTCTTATATAAATAGTGTTAATATGTTTTGGTGTGCATTAGCTCCTTGTTTAAGTTATTCTGATTCTACAAGATATTCTGATTGAAAGCTATGAGTTGGACAAGATCCAGCCACATTATGAGGTGTACCTTGGTGATATCTCCACAAGATGAATTGGCGTCAGTTTCAATTCCATGTCAAGGTATTCCAGTGATCTAACAGATTTGCATCTAGAACCTGTTTCAATCTTTTTTCGAACATCATCTTGCCTTGTACTCATATGTTATATATATTTATATGTATGTATCAGTTATTCCTGGATCTTTAAAGCATGTACTATCCAATCACCAAATTTTGGAACAATTTGCTTCTAGGCTCTATGGTTAAGCAGCTTAAATTTGAGGTATTTTGGGATGTTAAATTTTCATGGCTAAACTTATTTGGAAAATTTGTAATTCTTATGATTGTAATTAAGTACGTTGGTGATTAATGAAGCAAACTGGAGTGGTTGACAAATCATTAGTCTCAAAGATTAATCTTATAAAGGAGGGGCTTAGCTGAACTCAGTTTAAAGTGGATTCTTATATATGATATGGTATATATTGTACTGGAACACAATTGATTATACAGATAATTATATTTATGTTACAACCTAAGCATATCAACTGCATCAATGGGGTAGATTCCTTAATACTGCATATGGTATTTCACAATGTATTTTCATTTAACTCGTGGTACTTAGTGTATACTGTTAATCTTTGATTTCAGTGTAGAAACTTGATATTATTAATTTCCTTTTAGCATAATACATTGGTTAATCTTTGATTTCAATGCCGAAACATGATATTATTAAGTTCCTTTTAGCATAATTAGAGATTTAGAACACTTTATGGAATATAGAGGTACTGCATCATAACATTTAAAGAAATATTTTTTTTTGGCTCAACCTGCAACAATCAAACAAATGTATTATCTTTTAAGTTAGATAATTGGAAACTTTTATAGCTTTTGAGAGTTGTTTAAGGCATACTTGCTAACCTATTTAACCATTCATTTCTTTCAGATGTTTGATACATATAGTAATCACGTCAACAAAGGTGTGGAAGTTGAATTGAACTTGGATGGATTTCGATTTGAAGACCAATTGGGCATAAAGCGTAAGGTCAAAATATTTCCTATATTAGGATTGTATTTTTGATAGATAATTCATTCATCTCCTACACATTGGTTCTTTAATGATTGCTAATACAATACGGGAGTTCTAATTTTGCTAATCCAGTATGTCCCAACTCCCACTTCCCATTCACATTAGTGCTTTTGGGATTGTATTGTGGGCTGATTAAGTTCACAATGAGTCTGTAACTTGGCCAAGCACTGGGCCATGTAATATTAAAGTTTTAATGCTGTGCAATATAATGTAACAAAGACACCCTAAAGGCCCATCTGAAAGTATGTTTATCTAAATTAGTAATGTTCAAAAGTTCAAAGAGTTAATCAAATTCTTGTTCCCTTATATGACAATATGATGTGCATAAGCCTGTTCTTATTGTTTATCTGACATCTTGTGCATGATAAGCTAATACTATAATTGTGCCTTGAGGTTCTATTGCATTTGAAGTTTTACCATTTTTGTCTGTTACATGATCTGAATGTCTTGAAAAAGTTTGTAAACATAGGTGGACGATTATGGATGTGTTGACCTTAGTGGCCTCTTGAAAGTAACGGTTGGTTATGGAAAAAGTGGTATGTGTCTTTATCTAACTGCATTTTTTTGTTTTGGATATTTACTTGCAAGGACGAAAAAGAAAATGATATTCTTTTATTACTAAAGCCTAATATTAGTCCAGTGAAACAGTGACATATTGAAAGCTTAGTGCTATCTAGTACTGGTTATCTCATATTTTAGTTGTATACTATAATTTCAAGGATGCAGACATTGGTTGATGGAAAATTCTTAGTCACTCGTTACTTTGTAGCTTTTGGTTTTGTTTGCCTAGCTAAAAAGGAAAAACATTTGACTTTTTAGTTTAACCGTCTCTAGGAACAGTCTTTAGATTTTTCTTCTTATGGATAATTTGATTGACCATGAAAAGTTAAATGTTACACAGAGCTACATCTAAGCATCAAGGTTGCAACAAATTTTATGTTAGTGATTAAATACTGTATAATTTTATCTATTTATGAATGGGTTAGAAAATAAAAAACTAAAGAAATTGGGACATAGTAAGAGCCTGAAATTCACCAAAAATAGTTGGCAAACTTCTTTAATCCAATGATTGTTGTGTCCACTGTTGGGTGTCTATATCTTAAGAGCTTAGCTTTAGTATTAACACTTTATGATGGTCATTTTTCAGTCACGAATACTACATTGTTAACTATTGGTTTGCATGTTCAGGTTCCTCTTTTGCAAAGTCCAAAAACGGAGTCCTGTGAGATACCCTCATATTCTGATAGAAAGTTACAACTTCTTGAGGGCTCAACTCCCCTCAAACATGTAGGAAACCTTGCGGTATCCATCGTAAAAACTAAGAAGGTATTGTGTCAGATTCCATCTCTACATTATTTCTAAGATGTAAATGCACTTTGATGCTAGACTAGATGCTTCATTGTCTTTGATTTATATGTTCCAGGTAGAGATTTTCACTTGTTCTCAATGCCTCGGTCAAAGAAGAGTTGAATTTTCCAAATTTCAAAAAGAACTTTTCCTACTGTTTTGAGTTACAGTGTCCCTAGCTGAGTTGTTGTCATGTACCAAATGTGGTGATTTTGCTTACTAATTGATAGTTGGTTTTAGTCTGAGCTTTGTTGTTTGAACTGCTTTTGTTGCAGGAACTTCAGCATGTAATTACAAATATGGTTCTAATTTGTAAATTCTTTTTTATGATGAAATATTTCTACAGTACATGTTTCTATTAGGTAAATACATTTTTTATGCTGGAATAGGTGCTCCATTGCCTTTGATTTAGTTGTTTTGCCTAGAGATTCTTTTCACTTGTTTTTAATGCCTTGGTCAAAGAAGACTTGAATTTTTCCATATTTCGTTCATGTAAAAGAACTTTTCCTACTGTTTTTGTGTCTCATTGTCCCCATTAGTGTTCAACATTACTACTTAGCTAAGTTGTTGTCAAGTGCCAAATGTTGTTTTGTTGTTTGGACTGCTTTGGTTGCAGGAACTTGAGAATGAAATTTGCAAATATGGTTCGCGTATCAAGAATCATGAAATGGCATTGAAAATTGTTAATGATCAAACGGCAGAAGTCGAGCAAGTCTTGTCTAAATTGCAAGGTTTTGACTGACATAATTTTCTTTCTTATTCCTTAAAAATATTAAGAAAATGAATCCTACTCAGTATGCATGATTGAAGTACAAGATTTGGTGTAGAATGATAAATTTCACAAATTACTTGTCCGTTTTAAGAAACTTTTATGACCCAAGAACTTTAATGTAACACATACTAGCTATTATTGTGTATCTTTATTAAGTTCAAGATCCAAAATGGTAATTTGCTCAATTTGGTGATAAGATTACACAATTTTAGGCAGTGATCATTTAAAGATGTCACTACTAATTTGGTTTATTTGTCATATAAATCTTTTGGAATCATGTGAATCGTATTGTTTTCAGATTTTCAACATTTTTTTGTCTATTCTATTTATTTGTAGTTGTTAAAATATTTGTTTGTCATGATTAATAGGTACATATTTACCTTGTTCACATCTTAATGTGTTCAATCTGCTTGAGTATGGGACATTGTGTATTTTGGGTCCTGTCATAAGAGTTAAACGTTTAGGACATATGTAGACACCACAATTGAGGATCTCAAGTTTCTTTATTATTTTGAGGACCTGAAGGCACGTTTTGTCATTCTCTGCCATGCCACAATAGCAGTTGGTCATTACAACATTAATGAAATAATAATATTTGTTTGAGAAAAGTTAAGTTCTCCAGTAATACTTTTAATAATGGTACCTGTCTATGTCATGACTTATTTGTGATGAGGATGCAAAAACATTTTGATATGAATTATGTGGCAATTAAACTCTCTATGACTTGCAATTTGCATAATACTTGTGGTACTGCAAAACGTTGTTGGCATGATACTAAGCTATTTGGAGTTCTATGTTGAAATTATTTAACTTTGTTCCACATGATATAAACTTCATTGGAAGAGAAAAGAATAATGGTTAATTTTAATGTTCATGTTCATGTAAAATCAAATAGTTAGAAATTTGGTTTTATTTTCTACTTGCTACTTAAATTAAAGCACTGCCTCCAATGTATTTATAAATGTGGCTCCAACAACATATGCGGTGGAAAACTGAAAAATGGATCTGTTGTTGATTTGTTTACCAGCTTCAACTGAACCTCACATGTTGACTGATCCATACTCCTTGCTTACAAAAGAGGAAATAACAAGACAGATTGAAAGCGGGGGTCAATCTGTCGCCGCTGTTCTCTGTTGTATTGGTAAGGAGTTTCCACTCCACGAATCAAGGACTGATTTCATTGAAGATATTGTCGGCCTTGTCGCACTTACTGGAAATGCTTGGACCAGCAAGCTTAGCAAGCAGGTCACCATTCTGTTATTTTCTTCAAATTTCTTAACTGAAATGATTACATGTCCATTAGTTTTTTGTGGTTTATGATCTCTGGTTTATCAATCTTTAGGATGTTAGCGGAGTACTTGGGTGAAGATCAAATGCTTGCTTTGGTCTATGGATCCTTTAGAGCAGCTTGTGCTCTTCAGGAGTACAAAAAAAATGGAGAAGTTAATTGTAAACTTTTTTTTTTTTAAGTTAATTGTACACTTGGACTACATGGAAAAGCAACTGAACGTGGAAAGTAAATAGTTGGCCAATTTCTTGTTATATGCCTTGAGGATATGAGGTGCTATATGCAGTGTCCTGATTGCAATTTCTTTTTACCTCCTCATTTCTTCGTTATCATTTGTAGTTAATTTGGGTTTTTGGATTTTATGGTATATTTTTTGATTGTTGATTTGAGTTAATATTGGTTGGTTTTGAGGTGTTGTTGATTTAGATTGAGATTTATTCTTGCTGGTTGATTTTTTTATATGTTGATGTCGATGGCGGTGGTAGTTAGCAAATCTCACTGGAGTTGGAGCAGTGACTGGAGCCGGGCTCGGAGAAGAAAAGGGGTTTAGAGAGGAGAGAGTGTATTTAAGGAATTAAATGGTATTTCCATCTTTACAGTGACTGTACCTTGTCAATTAACGGATTTTGCTAACGGATCTTAATAGTGAGTGGGAAATTGTTTTTTTTTTTTTTTTTTTCAAACCTTTCAGGTGGGAAAACTTGCTTATGCCAAACCTGGGTTGGGAAATTGTCATTCTCCCTTAAAAACTTCTATAGTGACTATTATTATGAATTTCCTTCTAAAGCTATTATAAATATTTGTGGAAAAAAAAATGTTGTATGCCTTGGAACTTCTTTATATTATGACTCAATTTTCAAGCATGATTATTTGTATTGTAGGCCCTCCACAGGGGAGTTGGATGGCAGTGATCCTCAGAGGAGGCTAGCCTTGCTAGAGCCTATTTTACCATGTGGGGACACCCCACCAGGTTTTATGGGGTATGCAGTTAATATGGTTGACCTAGATGAGCATCATGTTTACACGAGGACAAGTGCAAGTGATGGTCTTAGGGAGACTTTGTTCTACCGACTCTTTGGTAAGCTTCAAGTTTACAGAATCCGTGAAGACGTGATAGAGGCTCATGCTTGTACAAAGCATTGTTCTATATCTCTAGATGGCGAGATTTTGAAAGAGAATGGACTTATTTGTCTTGGGCACTGGTATGTATTGTTTCTTTTTTCCTCTCAATACTTTCATTAAAAATTTTGTAGAATTTTTTCCCCCATTAGCAAGAGTCGGTGCCTAGTTACAATTGCTACTTTAAGCTAACAGGCACAACCACTAAACATTATCTTGTTTGATCATTCTTTTCAGGAATCCGACAATATGTTTTCCAGTTGTTGGGCAGGTAGATATGCTTCCATCTTCAGAAAGTAAAGAAAAATTGAACCAAATTGAAGAAAAGAAATCGAAGTTAGGTAAGCTCGTGTGCTTAAAAGAGAAACACACTGCAGCTCTTGAGAAAGCTTTGAAGAAGTTTAATAAGAAAAAAGAAAAGTATAAGGAACATATGTTTGAAATCAGTCCAAAATTGAGAGACTATTACTTGGTATATGGAAATCCAAAGGAAGAATAGTTGAGAAATCTCTCCTAGATGATTAGTTCATCCGTTTTACTGCTGTATAGTCAGAAAATTTATATACATTTGTGGATATCCATAGTACCATAGCATAGGAGGAAAAATTTACAATTGTAAATGCCATAGAACTGACAGATTAAGTCAGTAGAATTTAAGAGTTTATGCTATAGAAATCATAGATCAACTCCAATCCCTCTAAAGAGTTTATGCCATAGAAATTACAGATTATAGATTACAGCAAAGTGAATCACTTGGGAAAGTTGTAGGCAGTTTGCCAGTCAATACATCTTTTTCTTTTGTATTTAACCTTAATTATCTCTTTCTTCTCGTAGAAGTTCTTGATAAGGATAGTAAGGGTTTTTTTAAACTTTAGGATTTATCTTAATTTTATCTGTTTGAATAAAGAGATAATCCTGGACCTAAGAGTTATCAGGATATCCTAATAAAGTCTATATAACTAGACTGTTGTAACCTATGACATAGAATACAATAATAAAAAATTATTAGGTGTTTTCTTCCTGATTTCATGGTATCAGAGCTAGGTTCCTCTGGTTGTAAATACTAATGGTGAAAACTACCATGACTGGTGAGAGAAAAGGCAGAAGCCAAAGTCCTCCACATGTTCGAGATTCATCCTCCAGTCCTTCATCCCATCAAATTCCATCCTCCTCAAATATGAGATCTGGACAACCAGAAATCCTGTTTTCTTCAGGTAATAATGATAATAATTCAATTCAGATTAGTGTTCACAAACTGAATGGAAAGAATTATGTCTCATGGTCTCAAGTGGTGAAGTTGATGGTTCGAGGAAGAGGTAAACTAGGCTACTTGACTGGTACGATTAAAGCCCCATAAGAGGATGATCCAGCATACCAAAAATGGGATGTTGAGAATAGTACAGTGATGGGATGGTTAATCAATTCCATGGAAGAGGAGAGTGGTCAACTGTACCTACTTCTTCCCACTACAAAGGATATTTGGGAAGTTTCAAAGGAAACATATTCTGATGCGGGGAACTCAGCACAGATATTTGAGTTGAAGTCTCGATTGAGAGAGACCAAACAAAGGAACATGACTGTAACTCAATACTATAGCGTTTTGGCTAAATTGTGGCAGGAGCTGGACTTGTTCTTTGAAGCAGACTGGAGTTGCTCTTAGGATATTGCCAAATACACAAAAATGTTAGAAAAAGAGAGGGTGTTTGAGTTCCTTGTAGGTTTGAATAAGGAACTAGATGAAGTAAGGGGTAGGGTCTTGGGAAAAGAATCTTTACCTTCTATAAGGGAAGTATTTGCTGAGGTTAGAAGAGAAGAAAGTAGGAGGAAAGTGATGATGGGTGAATCAGTAGGATCCACCAGTTTAAGCATACCATCTGAGTCTTCAGCTTTGGTTTCAAAGGGTTGGGACAATCATACCAAGTCTAATGGAGAGCAAAGGATGCAAAAAAGAGGAGAAAAAGAGAAAATCTGGTATGAGTATTGTCATCAGCCAAAGCATACCAAGGCTACTTGCTGGAAACTACATGGCAGGCCAACCAATTGGAAGATTAATAAGGCTGGAGGCAAGGGATTTTATGTTGGGATAGAAGAATCTGAAGATCATCCGAGGTATGTACCATTCAGCAAAGAATAGTTGGAACACTTACAAGAATTATTCAATTAGTCCAATTCTGGTTCATCTGATCGCTTATGTTCATTTGCTAAGACTGGTAATTCCCTCACAGCTTTGCATACCAGTGTAGGAACAACCAATTCTTGGGTTATAGATTCAGGGGCCTCGGATCATATGTCAGGTAACTCAAGTGTGTTTGTAACCTACAGCCCATGTTATGATAATCTAAGGGTTAGAACAGCTAATGGTTCTTTATCAAAAGGAGCTGGTAAAGGGACTGTCAAACTGTCTGAAAATTTTGTCTACAAGCTGTCCTTCATGTGCCTAATCTGGCTTGTAAACTCCTCTTTATTAGCAAATTGACTAAGGACTTAAACTATGTGGTTAATTTTTCTTCTTCTCATTGTGAATTTCAGGACTTTCTCTCAGGCAAGATGATTGGCAATGCTAGAGAAAAAGGAGGACTCTACTATTTTTATGCCAAGGATTTTGAGAATAATCAAGCTATAACATCTAGGTGTAATTCTGTCTCTATGTTTGGTAACTCAGAAATAATGTTGTGGCATCACCGATTAGGTCACCCTAGTTTCCCCTATTTACAAAGATTGTTTCCTATGTTATTCAGAAATAAAAATCCAATATTATTTGAGTGTGAAATCTGCCAAATTGTAAAACATACCAGATCAGTGTTTCCTGTTAAACAATACAAGAGTTCTAGGCCATTCTCTATCATTCATAGTGATATTTGGGGACCATCCAGAGTTAAAAATATTGTTGGATCAAAATGGTTTATTACTTTCATTGATGATCACACTAGATTATGTTGGGTTTATCTAATGAAAGAAAAATCTAAAACAAGTAAAGTCTTCGAGAATTTCCATTCCATGGTTAAGAATTAGTTTCACACACATATTCAAGTCCTAAGAACAGATAATGGTAGGGAGTACTTTCATTCTAGCCTAGGAAACTATCTGCTCAGTCATGGAATAATACACAAAAGTTCTTGTGTAGATACCCCACAACAGACTGGTATTGCAGAAAAGAAAAATAGGCACCTTTTAGAGGTTGCCTGAGCACTTATGTTCACCATGAACGTGCCTAATTATTTGTGGGGGGAGGCTATCCTAAAAGCAACTTATTTGATAAATCGATTGCTAACTAAGATTTTAGAGTTTCGTACTCCTCTCTCCACATTTCTTCAAACATTTCCTGATTTTAGAGCCTTAAACTCTCTCCCTTTGAAAGTCTTTGGGTGTACTACCTTTGTTCATGTGCACTCTCATAACAGAGGCAAGTTAGATCCTAGGGCCATTAAGTGTGTGTTTGTAGGGTACTCTCCCACTCAACAAGGATATAAGTGTTTCTGCCCTATAAGGAAGAAATTGTTTGTCTCTAAAGATGTGACCATTTTTTAGTCAAATCTTTATTTTCCCAAACCCTCTCTTTAGAGGGAGAACTCACAGATTGATAATGAAGATAGTGTTTGGGAAATAACATTTCCCACAAGTCAGACTCCTACATCTACTCAAAAT